CCTTTAAACATTTGCATCAAACAGAACTGACTCTAAGCTGCCCCATTTAGCTAGTTTCTGAGGCTATAAATTGCACAGGAGGAGATTGCCTATCTTTTTCTCCTGATGATTTCGAGCTGAGCTCTCATAGGTTGACTTTACCGTTCCCCACAGACTAAGCTCCCAGACGTGAATCTACACTACAGCCTTTCAAACCAAAACCTAGTAAGTTCAATTCATGGTGAGTCTGACAGCCAGTCACATGCAACACAACTCAGGTTTCATGGGCTGTTAATATGTATGGCAGTAGACTGTCCATCTTCATCCTTTGAAAGAGACTTGAATTGCTGACTTCAAAAAGCAGTCCATCATGTAACAGATTACACCATGAGGGCATCTAACAGCCTTTGAAAATAGCTTACACGTGAACTCGAACCTGTGCAGAGCCGTCACTTCTCACGGCATTATACTTGCTTCCTCTTGAGTCATTTTTGCAGAAGCCATTACTGAAGGAGAAATTGGAGCCACTCTCCAGGTCAGATTTCGAATGTAAATAAGAAAGTGTTCTCTCTGCCTGGGAGTGCCCCTCACACACACATACACGATGTTAAATCAGTGAGGGACAATAGCCCATTTTTATTCTGTTTTTACCTTGATGACTGAAAACATTGATTGGCTTGGAGTAATACCAAAGTCATAAACTCATTCAAACTGAAATATAAATGAGTAATACGATCAGAGACACGAAAGCTGATTCTGTTCTACTAGGCAGGAGAGAGAGAGAGGTGAGCTGGGGGTGAGGAGACAATGCATTTAGGAGAACAACCGTCACCTGTGTAAGCACCTTATCCTGCTCAGTTCCTCCAGGGAGCCTCACCTTTAAAGTTCCTGACAGCCAGATTGACTCCCATGCAGCACAAATGCTTTCCATGTGCAGCAGATGCCGGGAAATGTCTCCAATCCCTTAGAGGAAAGCACTGGGCAGTTAAGCTTTGAAAGCAGAGTAATTGCAAGTGGTTGTTTAAAATGTGGCCTCGGGAGAGTGGGCCTGCTCTCACTAAGTACCATGACCTGCGTTTTTCTTCTCACGTTTTACTTCTAAATTGGACTGCTGACACTTCCATATAGGGAGGAGGGAGAGAAATATCAGGGGTTACAGCTCTAAGTAAGATAATTTTTGTGTCTGGTGATTTTACTGTCTGGTAGGGGAGCTAAGTCTTATCTGTGCTTCAATGTACTTTATTTGTCGGACCTTTACAATAAATTTAGGCACCCCAGATTGGGCTATAGGGAATTTGTGATACTTACTAATTCAAAGACAGTGCCTCTCTAGTGGTTCAAATCCACTGGCAGCTCCAAGAGAGAAAGACGGGTAAACTCCTCCTGTGAGATTTACAACCTCAGAAATCTTCTGGAGGGGCAGCTCTCTGTCAGTTCCAGCTCAGTAGCAAAACTGAGTTTTGGAGAGAAATATAAATAGCATAATATGATACTTATAAAGGACAAAAGCTGACTTTAGACTAATGAGGACAGGGGTAAAGTCCTTTAGTTTGCTTTGTTTGGGTTTTGACGGGGTGGGGGGGGGCTCTGAAAACTGTTCTATGCACAAGGCAGCCTTAGGGTAGGACTTTGAAAGGAGAAAAAGAAATAGGATGAGGTTTTTTGAGACAAGTCTTTTCGGATAAAGGTGAGCATGGTGACTACTTTCTCCATCTGAGGCCTGAATCATGTTCCCAGACGTCAGCAAGCAATGTCACGTAACTGGTGCTGCCAATTAGCTCACAAAGGTTAATAAGAATCTTGGCATTGGTTAAGCAACTGCTGGCCAGGAGTCACACCTTTTTCTTGCCCATATTTCTTACTTGGTTCTTTAAATATATTGTTACTGAGTTGTCTCTGGCCTATAGGAAACTGTAGGACAGAAAACAGCCCCGTAAGAATTTCAAGGCCACACATCTTTATGGAAACAGCCAGCCAAATTGTTCTCCCATAATGCTGCTAATGGGTTCGAACCACCAGCCTTTCGCTTAGCAGCCACTTCACAATCAGTCCTTACTTGTTCCATAGGCTAGCTCTACTGCGGCTGGAATTGTTAGATTAACCAATGGAGATGCTTACACCAACATATACAATTCTTGGAGTGTCATGTATCTACTCCAAAAAATTTGGAAGCCAGCTAACTGAATGGAAGAGACCTATATCCATTCCTCCTCAAAAGCAAGGTAGCCAAAGGAATGTGAAAATTAGCAAAGAATTAATATCACGTGAAGGCAAGATTTTATTGAAATCATTTTGCCACAGTACATCAGCAGGAGATTTCCAGAAATTCAAAGTGGATTCAGAAGAAAATGTGGAATAAGGGATATCAACACTAAGGCCAGATATATCTAGGCTGGAGTGAAAAAAATAATACAAGAAATATGTTTAACTGTGTTTACCATGTAATGACATTTGATTGAGTGGATTATAACAAATCATGGATGAAAGGAATTCCAGAACACTTAATTGTATTCATGCAGGTCCTATACGTATACTAAGGGGCAGTTACTCAAATAGAGGAAGAAGGAATATTATTATGATTTAAAACCCAAGATAGTTACTAATCAGGGCTGTACATGTATTAAATGTACATGCTGAACAAAAGTCCAAGCAGCTGGACTGTCTGAGTCAGAACACAGCATCAGATTAGAGGAGGAGTCGTTTAACAACTCATGACCTGCAGATGCCATAGCAGCCTTACTGACTACACGTGAAAAGGGCTTTTAGCACTTACTGACTGATGAAGATCAAAGACTGTATAACCTTCAGTATGAATTACATTTAAATGTGAAGAAAATACAAACGTTCACAACTGGATCAATAAGCAGCATCATGATAAATGAGAAGAGTGAAGTTGTCAAGAATTTCATTTCACTTAGATACACAGTCAATGCTCATAAAAGCAGCAGTCATGAAATCCAACGACTTAGTGCGCTGGACGAATCTGTCGCAAAAGACCTCTGTAGAACGTTCAAAAGCAAAGATATTACTTTGAAGACTAACGTGTGCCTGGCCCAAACTACAATATTTATAATCTCCTTATATGTAAGTAAAATCTGGACAGTTAATAAGAAAGACAGAAAAATAATTGATGGCTTTCTATTATCCTGTTGGGAAAGAGTATTGAGTCACCAATGGATTGCCAAAACCACCAATGAATGTATCTTGAAAGAAGTATCACCTTAGAAGCTCATGGAATGGCTAGACTTCATCTCATACACTTTGGTAGATATGTTTGTTACCGGAAGGCATCAATCCAAGGTAGACATGCCCAGTAAGTCAGAGGGTCATAGAAGACTCTCAGTGAGATGATTGTCACAGTGGCTGCAACAGTACATTCAAGTCACAGGCGACTCAATGGCACGTAACAATAACAGGGTCACAATGAGTCAGAATATCTACCAACAACAACCGTAATGTTGGGGTTGTTGTTATTGTTGATGATGTTATGTGCCATCCAGTTGCCAGTGACTCTTAGTGACCCTATGTACATTAGCTCTGCACCCTGCCCTATCCTGAGCCAATCTCATCATCTCTGACAGTCTTCATCCCATTTCTCCAGTCACTGAGTCAATTCATCTCATCCTGAGTCTTCTTCTCCTGTGCTGTCCCTCCACCCTTCCAAGCATGACATTCTTCTCCAAGAATCGGTCCCTTCTGGCCACAGGCCCAAAGTATGTGAGGCAGAGCCTCAAAATCCTTTCCTCCAGGGAGGAGCCTTGTTTCACCCTCTCCAGGACAGGCCTGTTTGTTCTAGCCGTCCATGATATGTTCAACAGTTTTCTCCAGCACCACAACTCAAAGGCACCAACATTGAGATAAGTAGTTTTATTCCTTCTTTTAGAAATACTTTTACTAGGGTTAATAGTAAATGGCACAGCAGCTGGTATTCAAACTCTATTCTCTTTGCTTCTCTAGGGCCTCCCATCTAGGAGGAAGCTAAACCAATGGATACTTACTGCCCTTAGAGGTCACACTAACCAATTTGGATGGACGTGTAAGCAAATTAGGTCTAAATGTAATTAATTATATATCTGTGTCCTGTCTAAGTTTAATTCCACTGAAACTGCAATATGACAGTGAGAGATTCTAAAAGATTACCAGTATAATATGAATAGATTTGAATAGTCTTTTTTTGTTTGTCTCCTTCATTTAAGTTTCATTTCTTTTCCTGGCTTAAAAGACGATAGATAGATCAGGGATAAATACCACCCAATTGGCAGCATGACCAGTTTTCAATCCTGTTAATCTGGAAGTTGGCCAAAAAGTGATCTAGTCAACTGTATTTTAATACAAGGTAAATATAGTTCGAGTATTAAAGCCAAATTACTGACAATGTTGGTTCTGTTTTGTAATTACCAATATGTTTTGCTCTTGTTATATTTAAAGAGTTCTCCATGACTGTTTCCCAGAAGTCTTTCTTTCCAAAAAATCAAAGATGAGCCTCAAATTATTACAGACCTAATGATATGGAATTGCACTGTCAACCTAAAGGCAGTGGTTCAAATCTACCTGCTGCTCTAAGGGAGAAAGATGGGCCATCTCCTTCATGTGATTTACTGCCTCTGAAAACCTGCTGGAGGGTGTGGTGAGTCAGTTCTAAGTCCAAAACTGATGGCAGTAACAACAAAGTAGAGAAAGGTAGCTTATCACAGGCAACTTTAGCAGACGTTCTGCTGGCATAGAGATTAAAAAGCTTACCTTCTAACTCAGAGGTCAATATTTCCAAACCACCACCAGCAATTCAGGAGAAAGATGAGGTGGACATTTTTCTCTTAAAGATTATAGTCCTGGGGAGCCTGTGGGAGTGTTTGCAGTCCCACAGGATTGCTATGAAGCTGAATTGACTTGATGGTCATAGGGTTTTGGGTGTGGGGGACAAAGACATTTAATAACCAAGAGGCACCACAAGTTTCTGAAAATGTTTGTTTATTCAGGAAGATTTTAAGAACTAGGAGGTGGCTCTGGCTGTGGTGGTTTCCTTAGGTGAAAAGTGCACTGACTGTCACTATGGAAACCAAGACACAGGCAGCGAGGAGCACAAGGAGACCTAAGCGGCAGTATTTTGATTGCTTCTCTTGTTTTTCTTCCTTTCTCAACAAGGTATCAAAACCTGGTGTGTACATGTCTCCCAGCCAAAACCGGAGGTCATTAGGATTTTCCTAAAAGAAAATTAGATGGAGAAGACAGTCAGTGAATCAAGTAAATTAAGGTTGCCTAACTACGCATTGTCAGAGGTATTGAAGGTTCTTGTTTGCCCTTTCCTAGTACGTTTAGTGTCCCTGGGTTGTGCAAACACTCTTGGCTGCTGATAAAAAGGCCAGAGATTCAAATGTACCCAAAGGTGCCTTGGAAGAAAACCCTGTCTATCCATTTCTCAAAAATCAGCCACTAAAAACTCCATGGAGCACAGTTCAACTCACATGCAGGGTCACCTGGAGTCCAGGTTATGCCACATAGCTCAGGTGGCAACTGATTCCTAGTTTCTCTTGTTTGTGTTTTTGTTTGGGTGAGTTTTTTTGGTTGCCATTGTTTTTTGTTGCTTTTTTTCTTCAAAATGGCACATGATTTAAGTGTCATGGCACATGATTTAAGTGTCATGGGCTTCCCTGAATAGAAAGAACACCCAGCCAAAGCCTCAGGCCAGCCAAGAACCCCTGCAGCCTCAATCTGAAAGTCTTTGTGGGAAGTGGGAACCGGTTTAGCACAGTTTGTTAAACAGCTCAGTTGGAGAGTCAGAAACAAAACAACATTTCGGTAATATTTCAGCCAAGTCGGTGTCTCTTGCCCTTTATAGTGTTTGTAAATCAGGGTAGTGAATAGATATGAAATTAAAATCCTTTGCTGTAGGTGAGCTGAAAGGCTTGATCTTTTTTTTGTCTGTAGAGGACTATTGAGATGTTCATGAGAGAAGAGTCCCTTCCAAGAGCCCGCTGGTCTCCCTTGTAAAGGATTAAAGTTAGCCAGCCAAGAGTCAGTGCCGAGAAACACTGACCTCCTGAAGAAAGGACCCAGCATATCTTCTCCCATGAGCTCCTACTGCTGGTGGTTCTTTTTCTTTCACCAGCATCAGAACCATCTGAATCTGAACTCTTATATCTAATAATCACCTGCAACCTTCACAGTAACTCTTTTCTCCCTCCTTCCTTCCCTCCCTCACTCCTTCCTTCCTTCTTTCATTGCTTCTCATCTCTCTTTTAAAAGCTCAGTGTCTGTGTCTGACATCTAATAGACACATACTAAAATTTGTTATGTGTCTCGAGTTTCTCTTCTTCCAGAAAGTCAGTTTAGACTCAGTCGATCTTACCTGAATCACTTGCAGGCTGGCTGCTCACCCTCAGTGGACCTCCCACACTGATATTGTCTCTACTGGGTTTCTAAGTCAGGCTTGAATAGCCAGTTCCCATAGATAATATTCTTTCTCTCTCCTTGCCTCCTTCTCTCTCTCTCTCTCTCTTCCCCCCTCCCCCTCCCTCGCTCCCTCCTTCCCTCCCTCCCTCCCTCTCTGCCATCAAGGCAGAACCTAACTCATAGCTGACCCTGCAGTGAGTTTTTTGGGTCTATCTGGAGGAGATTGTCCATCTTTCTCTCAAGGAGCTGCTGGTGAAATTGGGTTAGCAATGCAATTCCCTACAGACTATGCCACCAGAGTTCACCAAGGGTCAAAATACCATCTTTACAATTAAGGATACACTGCTAATGAAGAAAGAAGTCCCCTGGTGGCACAATAGTTAAAGTGTTTGAAGCAGTAGGCTACTAACTGGAAGCTTAGTGGTTCAAGTTCACCGATGGAAGAAACTTACAATCAACTAGTTTCATAATTAAATAGAGAGAATCATACTAGGATGATTACTTGAGAGGGTAAGACAGAATTGTTGTTATGTGCTATCAAGTCGCCTGTGACCCATAGTGACCTTACGTATAGCAGCTCTGAGGTCTGTGCTGTCCTGAGCCACTCTCACCAAATTCGACACACCAACCGCCACTGCCCCAGTCACTATATTAATCCATCTCAATCGGGGTCTTCCTCTCCTACGCTGTCCCTCCACCTTTCCAAGCATGAGATCCTTCTCCAATGGCTGGTCTCTCCTGAAGACAGAGTAGAAACGTATTTAATAAACAATGAATATTTAGTCATCTTGGCAAAGGGAAAGACAATATGGAATGAATGGACCATCAGATACTGTGAATATAGCAACTGATGTTATTAAATAAAATGTATGTAAAAAAACAAGATTTCACTCAAAACACAATAAAATTTTGAAAAATATGGGAGGAATATGCATTTATGTAGTGGGACGAGGTAGATTTGGAATAAAAGTGTTTTTCTACTCCCTCTGTATTAGTTTGATCTTCTTAGCTATATAAAATTTCAAATATTAAAATTTGCATGATCCTTAATGAAAATTAGATTATTTAGACACCATCCTCGACCTCTCTAATATTAACCTGTTTTGCTTGTGTTTTAGTCTGAGACCTGTCCTTTTCTTGTTTAAACCTTTGTTCTCCAATTCTTGTTCTTGTCTATCAAGTCAGAACAGACTCATAGCTGACCCTCCAGCAGGTTTTCAGAGGCAATAAATCACATGGGAAGAGATTGCTCATCCTTCTCCCACGGAGCAGCTAGTGGATTTGAACTGTGTACCCTTAGATTGCATCATAGCCTCCTACTACTCGGCTGCGTTCCCTCTGTTCTCCACTAAGAGGGTTCATAATAGAGACCATCTTCCTCTTCATTCTGCTTACAATTTGTCTTGACAATTAGATGTGTTCTGGGATTTCCATTCTCCTCGAGGTTAACTATAATTTGTTGTGATCCACACAGTCAAATGTCTTTGCATAGTCAATGAAACACAGATAGATATCTTTCTGGTACTCCTTGCTTTCTGCCAAGATCCACCTGACATTGACAATAAATGTCTCTAATGCTACAACCTCTTCTAAACCCAGCTTGTGTTTCTGGTAGCTCTGGGTCAATGCACTCTTCTAGTAATTTCTGGATAATCCTCATCAGGATTTTGCTTGTGTGTGATATGAGTGATATGATACTTTCTACACTCTGTAGGGTCACCTTCTTTTGCAGTGGGAATACGTATGGATCTCTTTCAGTCAATTGGCCAAGTGGCTGCTCTCTGGACTTCTTGGCACAACCTGTTGAGCACACCCAGGGCAGCATCTGTTTGTTGAACTATGTCAATGGGTATTCCATCAATTACTTGAGCTTTCTTTTTTGCCAAGTTCTTCAGAGCAGCCTGCCCTTCCTCCTTAATCATCATTGTCACTTGATCACATGTTATTTCTTTAAATTCTCCTGTGTCAGCCACTTCTTTTTGGTACAGTGACTCTATATACCCTTTCCATCTTGTTTTAATGCTTTCTTGCTCATTCAATATTCTGCCCTTGGCATCCTTAAGTATTACAACTCAAAGCTTGAATTTGTTCTTTAATTCCATCAGCTTATGAAATTCTGAGTAATTTCAGCTCTTTTAATTTTTTTACTTCAGCTCCTTGCACAGTTCATTATAATACTTTCTCTTTCTGTGCTGCCCTTTGAAATCTTCTATTCAGCTCCTTAACTTCTTTATTTCTTCCCCTTGTTTTGGCTTCTCAGTGCTCTAGTGCAATATTAAGAATATTTTCTGACATCCATTTTGGTCTTTTCTTCTTTTTCCTCCTTCTTTGTAGAGCACTTGATTATACTTTGGTGAAAACTATCTTTTGACCAGGAAGCAGTCAGTCCTCAGAACAGAACAAGGAAACACTATATGATTCAAAATCAGAAAGGGAGTGTCTCAGGGATGCATCTTGTCTCCATACCTTTTCAATCTATATGCAGAACAGATCATTCAAGAGCCTGGGTGTTATGTGGAGGAATGTGGCTTCAGTATTGGAAGAAGACTCATCAATAACCTCCATTATGCAGATGATACTCACAACCTTACTTGCTGAAATTGAGGAGGACCTGAAATGCTTGCTGCTGAAGTCCTTGCTACAGTTCAAGGACTGTAGTCTTCCCTGTGGATTGAAGCTCAGCATCAAGAAGACAAAGATTCTCACGAGTGGGCCAATTGGCAGCACCATGATGGCTGGAGAAGAGATTGAGGTTGTTATCAGTTACGGCTCTGCAATTAACGTTCTTGGCATCAGCTGTCAGAAAATCACAAGATGAATTGCATTAGGTAAATCTATTGTCAGGGACCTCTCCAGAGTGCTGAGAAGCAGCAAGGTCAGTCTAGAGACTGAGTTGTGCCTGATCCAGGCCATAGTTTTTGCCATTACTTGTTATGCATCAGAGATCTAGACAATGACTAAGAATGACAAAAGAAGGACCGATGCCTTTGAGTTGTGGTGCTGGAGAAGTCTTGAACATACAAATGGTCACCAAGAAAACAACTAGGTCTGTCTTGGAGAGGGTGAAACCTCCTTGAAGGCTAGGATTTTGAAGCTCTGTCTCATATACTTTGGGCACGTGGCCAGGAAGCAGTAATCCTTCGAGAAGGACATCATGCTTGGAAGGCTGGAGGGTCAGTACAAGAGAGGAAGACGCTGGATGAGATGGATTGAAACAGTAACCAGGGCAATGGGAGCAAGGGTATCGAAGTCAGTGAGACTGGTTCAGGACAGGTCTGGCTTCAGAGCTGTTGTACACAGGGTTGCTATGAGTCACAGGCAACTCAACAGCACATAACAATAATAACAATTCAAGGTAAGCCTTCTTTTCTCTTCTCTGTTTTCTAAGTTTCTGATAACTTAGAATTTTAATAGAGGACATTTAGAAAGAATTCTCCCCACAACTAGAACATCTTTGTAAGCTCTTAAAAGAAGGTAATGGCTAGAAATGCCTAGACTTCTGCAGCCCAAGAGTAATGTCGAGGTTTCACAAAATAAGGAAGAACTCTGGATACAAATGATGAGAGGTGGAAAGGATGTTGGTGAAAGAAGTTGAAGAAATGAGATGATGGTCTGGTTGGGTGTTATAGAGTTGACTCTAATTCACATAACCTCACGTACAATGAAAAGAAGTCCTGTCTGAGCCTTTGTCATCCTCACAGTCTCTGCTGTCCTTCATCTCATTGTTATAGACACTGAGTCAAGGCATCTCAATAGGAGTCTTCCTGAGGTAGGGAAAGATGCTAAAACAAAATCATGGCATCGTTTGCTCCCCTCATATATAGTGGGTTGTCAAATGGTATCATGAGGTCATATGATACCATTCTCTCCCATCTGAAGGGTCATTGCTTCGAGAGTAGATGGGCATGCAGGAGATTTACCAGGGTCGGAGTAGATCCCAGTTTTAGGAAAGCAATGTGTCCACTGTTGGTAGTGGCTTATTCTCCCTAAACATAAAGACTGTTCTATTCAGCTTTGGAATTCTGAGTCTTAGAAATCTATAACAAAAAATTTGGGAAAAGAGCTGTTTGGCCAATGGACTAGACAAAACCTGTATTTGTTCTAATTCTAAAAAAACCCAGGTAATCCTAAAAAGTGAGGAAATTGCGGAATAATATTACTATCACATGCAATTAAAATCTGGCTGAAAATTACTAAACATTGGCTGGAATGGTACATCAATGGGAAAATTCTAGAAATTCAAACTGGATTCAGAACAGGCTTTAAAATGAGGAACATCATTGTTAACATTAGATGAATGCCTCCTTGCAGAGAATACCAGAAATATGTTTACTATGATGTATTTCATTGACTACAAGGTATTCAACTGTGCGGCTAGTGAAAAATTGCAAACAAAATTGAGAAAAATGGGAATCCCATGACACATAGTTGTGCTTATTTAAAACCTCTTCCTAGACCAAGATACAGTTATTTGAACAGAACAATGATATAGTGTGTTGTTTAAGATGAGGAAAGATGTGCATCAGAGTTTTATCCTCTCTCTATAGCTATTCTCTTGATAGCTGAGCAAATCATTCAAGAAGCTGGACTATAAGAAGAAGACTGTGGCATTAAGATTAAAGAAATTTTCATCAACAACCTCCATTATGCAGACCTCACAGCCTTGCTTGTAGAAAGTGGAGAAGACACTAAAAAGACCCAAGACATAGCATATGTATAAGTATATGTATATGTATATGTATATGTATATGCATATATGTATATGTATATATTACATCTCACTATGGAGAAAGTGAAAATCTTCATCACTAGACCAAATGACCACATCATAATAGATGGAGAAAAGATTGGAGTTGTCAGTCATTTTACTTGGATCCACCCACACTCAATTCCCACGGCAGCAGCAGTCAGGAATTCAAAAGACCTGTTACATTGGAAAAATCTGCTGTCAAAGACCACTTTAAAGTATTAAAGAGTTCAGATGACTGTTACCTAAGGTGCAAAAATCAATAAATTGATTAGTTTGGTGAAGAGAAAGGCAATATATAACAAATATTTAATTAGACATTGTCATAGATTTTATTAATACATTTTAAGTAATTTTATAAAACATAATGGATATGAATGATTGAATGAAAATTCAGTATGATGTTCAAACTTTCACACAAATTACAACAACAAAACACCCGATTTAAAAAAGAATTCTAAACCCAGTAACAACAAAAAAGATTAAGGTGTCATCTGACTCAAATAATGCTATTTTCAGTTGCTTTATCCACATGTAAATGTTGGCAACCTAGAGGCAGGCAGTTTAAATCCACCAGCCGCTCCACGGGAGGCATGTGAGCACTCTCTTCCAGTGAGATTTGCACCCTCTGAAGAACCCCTGGAGTGTCAGCAATGAGTTGGTATCAACGCAACTGCAGTGAGTGAGGGAATGGTTGAAGAAGAATTGATGTCTCTGAATTGTGTTGCTGAACACAATCGATTATTCCAGGGACTGGCAAAAGAACCAACAAATCAATCTTGAAGGAAGTGAAACCAGGGTGTACCTTAGTGGCAAAGATGGTGAACCTTCATCTCATATATATATATATGACATGATATCAGGAGAAGCCAGCCACTGGCAAAAAAGACTACATTCTGGGAAAAGCAGAAAGTTACAAAAGCGGAAAGAACACTCAAGAAATCAACTGACACAAGGACTGCAACAATGGCTTGAGCGTGGAGAAATCATCAGCATGAAACAGACAGGGCAAGGTTTCGGGCTGTTTATAGTATTGACGTGAGTTGGAGGGGACACGAGGACACCTAACAACACCTAATATTTTTCAAAAAAAGTGTTTTAGCTGATCTTTTCTTTTTCCAACCCCCACTTAAACTGTAGGCCTAACAACACTTAGCTACTTTTCCCTTTGATTGTCTTACGTTTTGTACCTATGCTATTGCTACTCTTCCTTAAGGTCTCCTCACACAAACAATGCATATAGCCTTGCAGCTCCACACACCCTCTGAACCCAACATAAACACATTTTCCCATGAAGTTGTTTGGGTTTTGTTTTTGGTTCCCCCCCCACCCCCAGTCAGATGTGATTTAATTACCTTCTAAATTTTAACAACACTCTGGACAATTCTAGTCATCTTCATGTATCTTGTGCTTTAGTCATTTCTTATTTATCTGCCCAGTTAGATGAACATTTTAGGGCGTGACCATAATATTCATCTTTAGAGGCCCCTTTTCATGCATATAATCAGCTAAGAGAAGAAAAGAAGGGCTAAGTGATGATTAGAAAATATTTGCATAATAAGCTGGTACTTTCTTTTAAGACCATACGGTCACTTGTGCCCTTCTTTACAGTGGGCTTCCCAGAAGCCCACTGAAGATCCCAGGATTATGTTTCTATGGGGAAACATCTCTTTTGAAAACTTCTCTACAAGAGAAACTACATTAAGGAAGAGATATGCATTAAATGCACTAAAATATTAAGAAAGTTCAGAGATACTTGATAACAGTGTCTTTCGAGGAATGAGTATTTGAAATCCTTAGATGTGTGTAGGTTTTTAATCAGACATGCTGTGGTCATACACAGAGAGAGAGAGACAGAAACAGAGACAGACAGAGTCAGAGAGAGTGTTTAAGTCATGAAGTTTCAAACAAGTATTCACTGTTGGGCATTCTTGGCCCTGGTGCAAGCACAGGCAAGCCAAGACTAGGTAGGAATGTGTCTCATTTGCAAAACCCAGGGCCTCCTGCTTTACTTTTCAGGTATTTCTGGATCTTCTCTGTAGTGGATGAACATCAGGGGGGTTGGAGGGGGAAAAGAAAGAAGAGCTTAAGTTGGGTTTAAGCTGGGTGAATGAGTTCATTGCATACTTTTCCTATGTGGAAATGTTTTTGTTTTGTTTTGTTACTGAGACACAGGAAAATGACCAAAATGTAAATGTGCAATCTTAAATCACCAAGTGGAATGAAATAAAATGTTTGATGAGAACCGCTTTTTCCAAGTGCCCAAGATAAAGAAATCAGTAATTTTTTTTCAATAATTGTTGAATAAAGAATCAGATCATAATGATCCATGTGCATAAATCCTCACAAACTTGTTGGGGGGATAATTTTACAACTTCATTTTCATACAACTTTCCTTCTGTTTGAAAATCTTTCTTCTTTGCCACAATCAGCTATTTTCCTCTACGTCATACACAAAGCCAGAATATGCTGAAATTGCTAAACTCTAAACAAAGAAAAATCTTAACAAGGATGGACATAAGGATCTCAAAAGACTGAAAAGACCTAAAATGTAGAGATTTTGTGCTTTACAAAGAATACCTGGTTTGTGGAGCACCAATAGACCCTTTTAAAAAAAGATTAACTGATTTGTTGCTTTAAACGAAGGAGATGGTTCCCTAACTTGGTTACCTTCAGGTGGTCGGAGAGGTTGGTGTGCAAAGAACGCTTGTCATAATCCTCAATGGTCCACGAAGGATTCTTTCTTCTGTCTTCCATCGCTTCCTCCAAGCTTATATCACCATATAATGGGTTATTCTTCAGAACTGATGACAGGGAGGGTGGGGGCATCTCGGGAACCACAGGGCCCTCCACAGCCGCGTTCCTAATTCGTTGCATAGTGAGATTCTTCTTTTCTCTCTGTGAAGAGACAGAAACAAAAGGCTTCTTTTACTGCAGGAACTTCTCATAGAATGTGACTTGAGATAATCGGACCTGAAAATTTTCTAATTTTCCTGGAAATCCCACAGATGAGAGCAAGGATCTTATGATTTAACCTGATCACAAGTGCTTCTAATAATTAAATTCTTTCTTCATGTGTGGTCTTACTCAGACTAAAACATCACTTATTCAAACGTTATTTTATAGCTATGAGGCAAATGGGTTGAATCCACCAGCTGCTCTGTGGGAGACTGATGGGCAGTCTCCTCCTGTGTCATTTGCTGTCCCTGAAAACCTCGTGGAAACCCAACTACGTGTGGATTCCAACTCGATGGCACACAACAAAAAAGAAACAACCTCATTCTGTAATTCATCATGAATCTGAGCAAAGCTATTTTCCCTCCATCTCACTTATGTTGAGTTAGAAATTATTGTCCTTTTCTTTGGTGTATTTAATGACCAATAAAAATAACATTTAGCATTACTATAATGTTCAGCAAAGCCAAAATGAAGAGAAATTTTCTAGGCTTGCCTTAAGGAAATAATGATAAGCTTATAACCAGTCACTTATGATTCTTAGGCCAGTCATTTTGGGGGACTAGGCTGATTAAGCTTTGCACTGGTGTGTGTTATATAATGTAACTTTTTGCTTCATTGTTCAAATGGTGTTCAATATGTTTCAGCAGTTCTAGATAAAGAACACTTAATAGAAATTAAAGTTTTTCTGAGTTGTATTTGTGATTTTCAATAGAAATTTCTTTATTAATGTCGTTGACATTCATTGAAGTATGTGTCACAGTAAATATGTTTATATAAGCTTATACTGTAAACTAATACTGCATATTTTCCATTTAAAATAACTGGCAAGGAGGGGATCACCTAGATAAAATAGATGGCTTTCTTTTGGCCTTGAATTTCACTAATCCATGCATTTTTCACATACTTGGACATCAACGTGGAGAATCTCTCTGGCTGCATTGTTGCTCTGCTCAAGATCAATTTACATTATATAACACTGAAGTTCTCAATGAAATAATAAATCTTTTGCACTTAGCATTTGTCTAAAAGATGGATAGCCTCATTAACAATGTTTCTGAATTGTGCAAAAAATAATTTGCTATGAAATTTAGATTGTTTGAGTTTCACATAAGTCTTACTCTTTTTTTTTTTAAATTTTTTGCTTCAAGGCTAGACATGTTTGATCATCTTTGGAGTGGGGTAATGCTTTTGACATTGATAAATTGGGTTTGTCAGATTCCTTGGATGCTAGCCTATTCACTGAGCTTCTTAAATAAGGAAGTTCTATAAAAGAGGAAAATACAGTTTCAGAGTTAAAAGAAAAATTCGTTGTCCTATAATGCATAGATACCTAAGGAAAAAAAATAATTTAAAAAAGAATACAATAATAAGGGCTATATTCTAAAAGATTATTGAAGTCTAAATTTCTAAATCTTATTATTAAAATTTTTGAGAGTTATCTCTTATTTTTGCTTTGCATGTCAATTTTATACTAAGAAGACATGCAAAGGGAAATTAATATTGTAATTTTATTAACATTTTGTTGACAAGATAAGAAGTATTTTATAATGAGTGAGGTTCATTTGTGTTTTCATGAAATTTGTTCAAATAGTTTAAGGGGCAAAATTACATGTTATTTAAATTCTACTCCAAATTTAAAAAGATGAAACTTACCAGAGCAAAATACAAGAGGATTGTAGAAAGCACTATCATGATTTTCAATATCTAGTAATCTAAAGTAATTGCATTTAATCTATCTATTTAAAAAATGAACATTTTGAACCTCACCTAGACTTTTTTGTATTCCCCATTATTCTGTTTATCAATGCTTACAGCCTTTAATCCTTATATCCTTTAAGTACATATAAATTATAATTCAATAAAGAGCATGAAATAAGGCATTCAGACAAAAACTGAGAAAGTATATAATAGATAATAAATAAAAGAACCTTTAAGAAGGTACTTAAAGAAGAAAATTGATCCCAGAAGGAAATATTAAAATGAAAGAACATTGAGAATTTATATATATACAAATATATTTGAATAATAAATATATACACACACACACAAATTGCTCTAAGCAAGCATTGATAAAGTTAAGCAAGCATTGATTTTATGGTAAATCAGCAATTGAAACACTCAGCTGTTAGTGATTTTAAAAATAAGAGAAAACATAAACATGTGTTTCTATTGTGGTTTGGGGCCTCCAAGTCAATTCCAAGTCCCAGTGATCCTGTGAACATCAGATCCAAACCTTGCTTAATCCATCCTCATCCTCTCCACCTCTGCTGTGTGAAGCCCATTGCAACAACAATCACCAGGTGAAGTCCTCTCACTGACGGTCGTCCTCTCCTTCTTTAATGCTCCTGCTTTCTAAGCATGATTTCCTTTTCCAGAGACTCGCCACTCCTTACAACATGCCCAAAAGTATATGAGATGAAGACTCAGCCTTACCTCGAAGAAGGATCTGACTGCACTTAATCTAAAATAATTCTGTTTGTTCTTTTTATACAAATCTTTATAAAATTAAAATATTTTAAGAAATCTTTCAATTAGTTTGTAGAAACATGTCTAAAAATATATAAAAAAAAATCACACTTTGTTGAAGTGTAATACTGAGCCCAAAAGCTCCTAGTGACTCTGTGTGACAGAGAACTAACTGCTCTAGTGGGTATATTCTGATCAACAGGTCTTTCTCCTGTAAAGCCATTGAAGGGATTTGAACCAATAACATTTTCATTAGCAGCTGAACACTCAACTCTTTGTGCCATCAGGGCTCCTTAGAAATAGTAGGGTATGCATTGTTTCTAAACAATTGATATAAATTGTTAATAGAACAGTAGGAAAAAATAAAGTTCATAAATATTTTTAAAAAGGAAACTAAAAAGTTATAAGAAAAACAGAAAGAAATATTTAACAGTAACCATATTAAATAGGGAGATCTGGTGGCCTAGAGATAAGAAGGTGCACTGCAATCCTGAAGGCACATGGTTCAAATCCACCAGCTACTCCGTGGAAGAAAGATGAGCAATCTCCTCTCATCCTTACCTGCCTCTGAAAATCCTCTGGAGGGTCAGTTATGGGTCAGTTCCAACTTGACAGCACAGGACAACATGTTAGTTAAGATTGGGTTAATCCTTCTAGTTAAATGACTGAGATTATCAGATCAGATATTTTAAATGAAATTCCAATAAAATAGCTGCTCCAAGGGACACACGCACAGCAGAGGCTGTATATACTCACAGTTTGGAGAGTGTTTTGTGAAGATGGTATGTGGTCATAGGATTGGGCTGTGTTTTGTTCTGCTGTACAGAGAGTCACTGTGAGTTGGAACAGCCTCAACACCTCCTATAACAACCACGAAAGGGTGTGCTTGACCCAATATATGGTATTTTCATTTGTCTCATATGCATATGGAAGTTGAACAATGAACAACGAAGACTGAAGAATTACTGGTTCTGAATTGCATTATTGGTGAAAAATACTGAATGTACTACGATCTGCCAAGAGAAGGAACAAATGTGACTTGGAAGAAGTCTGGCAGAAAGTTCCTGGAAGCAATGAAGAGAAGACTTCGTCTCATACACTCGGGCATGTTAGTAGGAGGCGCCAGTGCCTAGAGAAACACGTTATCCTTGGTAAATAAAAAGTCAGAGCAAAAGAGGATGATCCTTTATGAGATGGGCTGACCCAGCAGCTGCAGCAATGGCCTTCAGGACACCAGTGATATGTTTTATTCTGTTGTCCATATAGTCACTATGTGTTAGAGCTGACTTGATCACACAGCTAATAAGGACAATCTTAAGTATAAGGACTCAGAAAAGAAGCTTACCAAGGAATGTAAAAAAATATGCTGCACAAGTTATGCTACAATAAGTAAATGAGAACTGGATGTTGTGGCAATTAGGTAAATGCTTACAGTATTTGTTTCTACTTCCTGAACACATAAAATTACTACATTTCCTGGTTTGTCCTGTGGTGTAATTGGAGTCAATGAGGTGTGGAGAAAAGTAAGAGAGACTACTTCCAAGGCTGGCTGCTAAAATCTTCTACAAAAGCCTTGGGTCAATTTCCTTTACTTTCTCCTTTTGAAGCTCCAAGCAAGGGTTCTGAGGTGACAGAGTTAAAAAATAAAGCCATTGCTTGTTGAGTCATTGCTTTAAAGGAAGAAATCAGGTTACATCAATCACTTTCCCCACCATAAAAAAAGGAGATCTACGAAGTATTCCCAATGGGGTTTTAGTATTACTTTTGATTTGCTATATTTCTCATTTTTCTCGTTCAGAAATTAAACCTTTACTGTATGTAGTGTTTCTATTCCTACTTTAATGGAGTTTAAAAGGTATAATGAAATGGAGGAAAACTGCTAAATGTCAGAGGTGACAGGATAACCTAGGTTGGTTGCGGTTTTTGTTTCTCTCTTGATAAAGAGTGATTATGTTCTTGATGAAGGAAGACGAGAGAACATGAATTTAACAAAAAGAATTACAGGCTATGGCAGATAATGGCTGATTGATGGAAGCTCAGCATATCTGTGTCTTTTTCATGGCTACATGGCACATAGATTGAGATATATGGCTTCTAAAATTCAGAGTTGGCTCCTAAGACCCCTGGCTAGATTTTTTATTTATTCTCTACCTTTTCTATTGATCAAAGGGTTTTACTGGCAGGCATAACAGGCTGGGGGTTGGGGGGCGGGGTAAAGCCAGTGGTTCAAATTCACCAGTTGCTCCTGGGGAGAAAGTTTGTCTCCTTGCATCAGGATTTACAGTTTAGAAACCCACTGAAAGGTCATCATGAGTTGGAGTACATTTGATGGCAGTAGCTTTTCAGCTTGGGTTTCCTGTCTACCAGGACCCCTCATGGTGTAATTTGTCATGTTGTTATTGTTGTTGTTTACCATCGAGTCAGAACCACCCATAGCTTACCTTCCAGCCGGTTTTCAGAGGGAGATTGCTCAT